TTTTCAAGCAAAAATTTTATTCCATAGACTGATTGTGCTTGCCTGGAATAAGGAACAAAATGTTTGAGGCCTCTCAAAGGTATTTTGATGAATCTAACTATAATTTAAAGGGACTAATAGATTATTGATTTAAGCAGGATGACAGTGAACAGATCAATGGCTGAGCACTCTGTATCTACCTTAAATACCAAAAATGACTGGTAAAAGGAAAGCCATGTGCTGTCCCCCTGCTTGTTTCCCACTGACTGTCTTGCCGGGAGTGGAGGTGGGGGGCGGTGGTAGTGGAGGAAGGCAGAAAAAGAAAAGGAGCTCTAAGAAATTTTGCCAAAGTATGTTTTTGCTACCTTACCAAAAAGGCAAGAGATTGCATTAAAGTACATATCTTTTATATTGATGCCATATCCTGGTTGTAATTCTAGAACTTGTCTTGGCGTGTTCGCCTGAGGCAAGCTTTGGTGATCTGATGGACTATACCACTGAAAATGTTTTTTTTCCTTGCGTTGTTCTCAGTGTTATAGGCCACATAGAGGAAATAAAAGACCACTGACCATCAATTTTGAGGGTGATATTTGAAAATATATATATATAGTCAAATACTTAATTTTTTACTAACGGTAGGAAAATTTTTCCAAAGATGATTTTGTCTGGGATCGTACATAACACTTTTCCCTTTCCGTTTTTGTGGCATTTGTAGCATTCAAATTATGTTCATTTATGACATTTGTGGGATTCAAATTATAAAAATAGTAGAAAGAACCAATTTATCCTTTAAAAACATAGCCTGATCACTTCCTCTTGGAAGTCTCCCTTGATTTCTCCTGAGATAAATAAGGCCTGTAGTTCTCTCTGGCATTATGTTAGTGGTTCCCAAACTACTTCAGTTTGGATTCGCCTGGGAATACCTTTAATTATTTTTATTTTTTGTTTTGTTTTGCTGTTTTAAATCTTACAGTCAGCTAAAAGAGAATATTTTTTAAAAAGGACAATTCCTAGCTCCATTCTCAGACATTCTGGCATGATAGATCTGGGATACAACTTGGTCATTAGGACGTTTAAAAGCTCCCCAGCTAGTTCTAGTGTGCAGCCAAGTTTGGAACCCACTGTATTGTAATTGTTGGTTTATTCTCTATTAGGCCAAATTTGTCGAGGATAAGGGATTATATACTATCACTGTCCATAGCATATAGCGCAATGCCTGGCATGTTATGTCACTCAGCCAAACAAATGATTGAACACATGAACAGTCTGAGAATCTATTGTACTCATATGAGAAAGTTCCTAGAATTACTGGTGAAATCACCACAACCTAAATAAAAGTCCAGGGCTCTCACTATTGATTACTTACAACAGAACATTTCCATTCATGGCAACCGTTCAGGAAAAGCCTTCTGGATTCATTCATTTGTTATAAATGACTCTTATCCATAGGAAAAGATCCAATCTTCACAAAATGTTTTGGGATCTTTAACGTCCAGTAGACTTCACGTTTTTTTGTGTGCTTTGCCCCAAGTGTTTTGGGTATTAAATTATGCACAATTTTGTTTCCTTTGGGAAGATGAAATGCTGGACTCCCTTCAGTGCATGTGTTTGAAGTGGCATATTTATGAAAATTACTACCCACTTTTGAAATTCAGGGCATAGCTCTGACAGCTGATTCCAGCCCCACCAGAATTCTATTTACAACTTTCCTAGACAAGCCAGATTAGCTGTTCTATACGAGCGAGTAGGACCTTAAAACACACCCCTCCCCACCTTCCTTCTGTGAAGAACTCAATGGGAGACTGATCGTAATGGTGATGACATGACTCTGTCAGTTGTGGAAGCACATGGATGGAAGTAGAAGCACACAAATCAAACCACTCCAAAAGGTCTGAGAGGCATCTGGGGAGGGGATCACTTACGTTGATATCAGGGGTGTAAATCCACACAGCCTTTCTAGAAGTCAGTTTATCAACATGCATTAAAAACAAAATATTTATAAAATAACTTTTGATCTGATAAATACACTTCAGTAGTGTATTTGAAGGAAATAAAGATGTGCTGAGATTAGCCACAAAGATGTTCATCACAATGGATGTTTTCTGTGAAAAATATTTATCGACAAGGATATAAATTGATGACATCATAGGTTAAACAAAGTCCCCAGCAATCTCAGTATAATTCCACATTAGTAGACAAACTCGAAATGTTTATGTGCATAGAAAAAAATTCTGGAAGGTCGTACACAGTGAAAAAGATTGTGGGTGATTCTGTGTGTATTTTTTCTTAGATTTTGAACAAAGAGTGATACATTGTTTTGTAATTTTAGCAAATAGTGTTTTCTTGTTAATTTGCTTTCAGTGAAGCTGATTAGTTCCGTGTGAAGAAGGCTTTTGCATCTACTGCTTAATAGCTGATAAGCTTTAGTGACATCTCGGATGCCAACCCTTCTATAAAACAGTTGCTACCACTGTGCCAACTTATTCAAAGTAAGGGCTTCCTATCTGCCAGAAATAATGTACTCAAGATTGCTATCTTCATCCTAGATACCTCGGTTCTAACCAGTAAAGACTATAATAGATTTTCTACTAGGACCTGCACTACTCAAATGAATTAATTCCAAGATTCTTCTGAATTATGAAAATACTATAATTATAGTTGATTCTGTTCCAAAGGGCTAATTAATTACTTTTTTAAGGAAGCAAAGGACTGTAAGAGCCATTTGGTTCAATTTTCTCATTTAACAACTTAGAGGGGGCACTTAGTGCTCAAAATGAGGAAGAAAAAGGAAAAGGAAAAAGTTCATGCGCTAATTCGATAAATACTGACTGATTATCTGCCATGTGCCAGGACCTCTTCTAGTCCTGGAACACAGGTGTATATAATGCAGGTGAGTTTCTTTGCCTTCTGAAACTCAACATTCAGAGTATGGGGGGTGGCAGATGTAGAATACAAAATTATATACAGACATCTAAAATTTGAACACTGGTTAGGGTTTTATGGAAATAAAATAGTGAGACAGAGTGACCACGAATGGAGAGGGGCATTTTAATGACAGAATTCATCTCTGGGAAGGAAACATTTGCTTTGAGATCTAAGAAATGAAAAACAACCAGATATTTGAAGGTCTAAGAATTTCCAGAAAGGACAAATAGTTATTGCAATAGCCTCCGTTGGTATGAGAGCTTGGCCTATTCAGAAGACAGAATAGATGCCAATTATGTAGAACTCAATAAATTAGGGGACTCACTGAAGGCAATGATGCTGCTAAAAGGCCATGTGATTAAAAGCCTTGTAGAACGTACTAAGGAGTCTGACTTTGATCTAATTGGTGACTATTGGAGGGCTTTAGATAGGCAAGTGAAAGAGATGGATTTTAACATTTGAACAACTATCTTGACTGCTTGTTTGAAGACTAGACCCTAGGTAGGAAGAAGGGGCATGAAGCGATCAATGAAGAAGCTATTGCAGCAGTTGTGAGAGGTGATGGTGGACTACTAGCATGGTGTGGTAGCAGCATGGTGATATGGGGATGGATTAACAGTAAGTGTAGTGGGTAGAGTCAACTTGACTTGCTAAATGCTTGCCTACAGGATAATCCAGTCAGGAGAATATCTACTCTGGGAGATTATAAGCAGTAGGGCAACTGGAAACTTTATATTCTGGGAACTATAGTGTGTATTGAAAAGCAATTTAGAGACTAGAGGATTCTGGAACACTATTTAACCACTTTTAATTCCCCTTCCTGATTTCCGTCTTATTTTATGAGCATGTTTACCTGTGATAGAAGTAGAGTCAGCTCTTGCTTTGATTCTGAGTACAACCCTGGAGAATTAGGGGTAGGAGAATACCCCGTTCTTATATTTTGTGAACTCCCATTTCCCATGGAATTTGGGTGATTAGATAACAGTATAGAGGATTGTGTTTTTTAAATCTAGATTAAAGAGTAACATGACTTAAAAGTGAATCGCACCACTCTGTGTCATCATTAGGTTTAACCTACTGCTTCTCAAATGTTAATTGTACATTTAGTCATCTGGGGATTTCATCAAAATGCAGATTTCAGATTCCACAGGCCTGAGCTGGGACCTGATACTGTTTTTCTAATAAGATCTTAAGTGATGCTGATGCATGTTGGCCCAAGGAGCCTTCTTTGAGTAGCAAGGATCTTACCCATATTGTTATTAATGAAGACTATCCCAATACACTTGTTGAATGAATAATTTGGGCATTTTTTCATTTGTCCAAAGGAAAATTTAAAATTTTTAATTAATTTATTTATTTTTTGAGACAGAGTCTTGCTCTGTTGCCCAGGCTGGAGTTCAGTGGCACGATTTCAGCTCACTGCAACTTCTGCCTCCTGGGTTCAAGTGATTCTCCTGCCTCAGCCTCCTGAGTAGCTGGAATTACAGGTGCACACCAGCACACCTGGGTAATTTTTGTATTTTTAGTAGAGATGGCTTTCACCATGCTGGCCAGGCTGGTCTCGAACTCCTGACCTCAGGTGATCCACCTGCCTCAGCCTCCCAAAGTGCTAGGATTACAGGTGTGAGCCACCACGCCTGGCCCAAAGGAAATTTACTTTTGGTTAAGTGAGCAACAAAGTCAAGTCATTTGAGACTCTACATGAATCAAAAGCTACTGGGGTTTGTAGTATGATGATCTGAATTTGTGTCTTGGCTCTACCACTGCTCTGTCGATCTTAGACAAGTCGCTTCCTTCCTCTGAGTTTCTGTTTCTGTTGTGGGTAAAATTGTGATAAAAACCATGGCCCTCACAGTGCTGTGTGAGCTGTGGACTACAACTGAGAGATGTATGAGACTGCTTTGTAAACCGTAGAGCACCACATCAATGTCAGTGTCACCACTGCTGGGCCTACAATGACAGCTGTTTTTATGAGCTCATCCCTGCTAGTGTTATTGCTGAATTTGGGGCAGAAGCATATGAATTCACTGTTGAAAAAAGTAATGAACTAAAATACATCTTCTCTTTTTTCTCCCTCTACCCCATCTCTATTATAGCAATTGAAACACAGAGCACCAGCTCTGAGGAACTCGTCCCAAGCCCCCCATCTCCACTTCCTCCCCCTCGAGTGTACAAACCCTGCTTCGTCTGCCAGGACAAATCATCAGGGTACCACTATGGGGTCAGCGCCTGTGAGGGATGTAAGGTGAGTTTTCACACCTCTGTACCTGATGAACTCTCATTCTCCTTGTATTTTCTGGAGGTGACCTACCCAGTTCCAAAAATGGGCTGGATGTGTAACATCACCTCCCATCAGTGTGGTGAATTCAGTTATATTCGGTGATTTTTATTACTTCCTTATAGATCTTTGGTTTAAAATTCAGAAACTTCTGCAAATGACTGATTAGGGTCAAAGGTTTTAAGGCCCTTAAAATACCCCCACATAACAATTCTTTTTAGATGATAAGAACTGGCTAGGCCAGGTGTGATGGCTCATGCCTATAATCCCAGCACTTTGGGAGGCCAAGGTGAGCGATCACTTGAGGTTAGGAGTTTGAGGCCAGCCTGGCCAACATGACAAAGCCTCATCTCTACTAAAAATACAAAAATTAGCCAGGCGTGGGTGACTGGTGCTTCTAGTCCCAGCTACTTAGGAGGCTGAGACATGAGAATCACTTGAAACTGGGAAGCAGAGGTTGCAGCCCACCAAGATCACACCACTGCATTGCAACCTGGACAACAGAGTGAGACTTTGTCTCAAAAAACAAACAAATAAAAACAAAGAACTGGTTGGAAGAATCTTGAGAAGTATCATTCTGTTTCTCTTTAGAACGTGCCGTCTGGTGTCTGTAGTTTTATTTTATTTTTGAATATGACTGACAGTCCACTGAATCAACTTGCAGGGAATCCAAGGTTGAAACTGGGATTTATCTCCTGGCTGTTTTCCTCAGCTCTGTGGCCTTTGAATTACAGTTTGATTTTCAGCCTGTAGGGACTTGCTACTGTATGTGTGTCATAAATTAAGGGGAGCTGGATTTAAAATTCCTGCCTACAGAATACTGGAGGCTGAACATGTATCAAGGAGTAGTATATGGCTGCTTTGAATCAGGCAAGACAATTGTTATCAAGTCCAACAGTCTTAATTGAGTGAAAGAGCTTCTTTTTTTCAAGAAAGAAAAGAAACAATGACTTCAAAGGCAAATATAACTAACTCATCCATAAAAAATTTCTCAAAGGAACTATGGCTGTCTTGAACTAGCCCTTCCCTAGATATATAACTTCTTTAAGCCGTCTCTGGATGGTTGTTTAGATCTGTTGTTTATACACCTAAATTGCATGATTCATTTGTAATTGTTAACATGTTGGAATAATGTTACAGGTACTCCATGGCATTTTGTATTTGGCTTATCAGAGTTAGCACTGAACTGTATAAATTGGTTAGGCACTGTTGTTTAACAAACCATCCTAAAACTAAATGGCTTAAGACAACAATTCTTTATTTAGCCTGCAATTCTGTGGGTCAGCAGTTTCAGCCAGACTCATCTGCATGGTTCATCTGGACTTGGCTAGGCTCCACCATGTATCTCTGGGCAGTTGTAGGTTAGCTAGTTGGCTTTGCTTCTGGGGGTGCTGACTGTGGGCTGGGGAGACTCAGCTCTCCTCCATGTGATCCCTCATTTCCATCAGGCTGGCCCTGGCTTGTTCACAGAGGCAGGGTTCCAGAAGACAGAACAAAAGCACATAAGGTCTCCAGAGGCTTAGGCTAAGAAGCATCTCATTACCACTTCTGCCACACTATTGGGCAAAGCAAGTCGTAAGGTCAGCCTAGACTCAGTAGGTAGGAACATAAACTCAACTTTTGTTCTTCTTTTAAATAAAATAAAACTAATCTGTCAACTTGAAAAAAACTTTTTTGTAGAGATGGGGGTCTCACGTATGTTGCCCAGGCTGGTCTTGAGTTCCTGGGCTCAAGTGATCCTCCCACCTTGGCCTCCCAAAGTGCTGGGAATGCAGGTGTGAGCCCCTGCATCCAGCCCTACTCAATTTCTTAATGGGCAGAGCTTCAAAGTAATAAGTGATATAAATATGGAGGGTCCGGGGGAATGGGTGTCATTTTTGTAATTAGACTACTGTAGTGCATGTCTGATTGCCTATGAACACAAAGCGGATGGGGACCCTAGCTCCACTGCCCAGCATGTCACACACAGTCTGGCATATAGTGGGTGCTTAAAGACAGAACAAATCTATAAATGTCACTCAACCCCTCAAAGTAATTTTGTGAGTTTTTCCTGTCTTTTCAAATCATTGAAATAAACATATTTATTATGGTTTATTACTATAATAAGGTAAGGCCAGTTTTGGGAAATTCATTAAAGGCTTAGGAAGATCTCTCTGCCTCTGGGATTGTGCTATTTTATGGCAATTCTCTTTTCTCCAGTAGCTTCTGACATGGTAGTCAGGAAAGTTATATGGGCAACCAGTTGGCAACTGACTAAAAAGCAAGACAATTGTTCATTCAATTATTGCTTTATTATTGGTAACCCCTAGCAGAACCTACTTAAATTTATCCTAAGATTTGAAAAGGTTTCAGTGGAATAGCTAGTTCATTTTGTCCACTTGTTGTGCAATATATAAATAAATCATTTTCTATTGTTTATTTGAAAAGTAAATGAAAAGATACTTCTTTATTTCTGAAAAATGTTAAGTCATCTCATGTCCAGAAATCTGAATGAGGTCTGCTGCAATTCAGCTTACCTGCTCTCATCATTATCCAACGTGTCTCTGTGGCACATACTAGGAGCTGCCTATGAAGCCGTTTCACGATCTGTATAGAACAAACTGCTTTAATCAGCTTATAGTCAGTGAGTTATCTGACCTTAGTTTGAGATTCTGACTCTTTCTAGGAAAAAAAAAACAATAAAAACAAAACCCATACCAGCACAAACAACTTTGATAAACTCAGTTAAGTGATACAGAGTCATATTATGGTGTAGCTTTTTAACAGAGCTATAAACCCAATAAGGTCAGGTGAGTTCAGCAACCAGTTGAATTTGGTAATTTTTACATTGTGGGTGGATTGCCCTTCTCCCTGGTCATTGAGAAAGACTTGGTCTACATTTAAGCTTGCTGGGAAAATAGAGTGACAAAATTCACAGAACTGAGAAGCAGGAGGAGGTAACAGTAAAATGTAACAGCCGAAGAAAAAGAAATATAACTTTTAAACAATTAAATATAATTTTATTGTCACTTTAAAAAATTATCAATACAGTATAGACTTTATTGTATGAAAATAGAAAATTAAAACAACCATGATCCTACCCTGGGAGAGAACCCCTGTAAAACTCAGCTTTTCTATAAGTATATGCATATTGTTATTGTTTCAGAAAAATGAAATTTTGTGTTGTATACTGGTTTTAACTTAATCTTTAATAATATTTTATGACCCAAATTTAAGCAACTGCATAGCTTTTATGGTTATACAATTAATATAGTAGTTTATGGTTATGTCATAATTTATTTAACTAATTAATTAAGGTGCTTACAGTGTTTTTCAATTATAAATAACACTTTAATGTATGGCCTTTAGGTATATCTCTGAAAATTTCCTTAGGATAAAAATTTCCTTAGGATAAATTAGTATAAGTGGAATTTTTAGATCAGTGGCTTTATATATTTTTAAGGCTTTTGAATCAGATTGCCAAAATACCCTCTAGAAAAGGTTATTATCTAGTAATCTGTAAAAGGTTAATCCTTTTGGAAACTATCTCTTAGGAATCTCTCCCTTGTGATATAATAAGGTAATGAATCCAGAAGCAACTTTTCTTCTTGAATTCTGCCTGTATTTAATTTGATATTTACTATGGGCCCAGTGTGTGATATCATTTTAGGATACCAGCAGATGCACCACAGGCCCCTGGTTGACCTGTAGAAACTGGCCCAACCTTTGGCTGGAAATCAAAGTTTACTACTGTAAGCTGAGAACCTCTGCTCTAAAGTAGGACTCCCAGAGCCTGGTATATCTTCAAGAAGTAATGCCTACAGTGGCTCCTGCGTGTCATAGCCAGGATGACCTAATTGACTATTATTTGGGGAAGAGAACTTTCCGTCCTCCTCGGGACTGGGTGACAGTCTCAGCCTCTGCTGCAGCCATATGATGGTGGTCAGAATTTAACAAATGGGTGTGGTCCATGTCTGGGAATGAACGGTCAGTGGCTGCTATATTGACACAGCATTACCATGGCAGCATAACCACTAGACACACGGTAGGGATGCCCCGTTTAGGGGGTTTCCAGCTGAGCAATGGCAGTTTTTGTGTAGGGGACAAAGAGCACACAAAATGAATGTGCCGTGTGGTTAGCCAAGAATGTTTAACAGTATAAAAAAATAAAGCAATATTAAAAAGAAAATAATAGGACAAAATAAAATAATGTCTTTGGAAAACAGTCTTATTGCTCATAGCTAAAATTTAATGCAGAATTTTGGCCTTAATCATATTTTCCATTTCCATTTTTATAGCTTTTGAAGAATGTGAAGTCTAGAGTGAGAATGCTGGGATTTGAATTCTAGCCAGACTACTTACTAGCTTGGTGCAACTCTCTCTTTTTCTCATCTGGAAAAATGGTGGCGATATTACCTACCTCATGGTATTGTTGTGAGGATAAAATGTTTTTACTATGTATAAAGCATATAGAATAGTACCTAGCACATACTAAGTGATAGGTACTAAGTGGCACATACATGCTTAGTTATTGTTTTGATTTTTTTTTTTTTTTGAGATGGAATTTCACTCTTGTTACCCAGACTAGAGTGCAGTGGCATGATCTAGGCTCACTGCAACCTCCGCCTCCCGGGTTCAAGCAATTCTCCTGCCTCAGCCTCCTGAAGAGCTGGTATTACAGGCTTTACAAGCATGTGCCACCCCACCCGGCTAATTTTGTATTTTTAGTAGAGACAGGGTTTCTCCATGTTAGTCAGGCTAGTCTTGAACTCCCAGCCTCAGGTGATCCGCCCACCTAGGCCTCCCAAAATGCTGGGATAACAGGTGTGAGCCACTGCTCCCAGCCTATTGTTTGTTTTATCATTAACTTATAATGACTTTTGCACACAGTGATGTAACATCAGTTATAATCTTAGTACTCTTCTTGCAGTGTTCTTTCTGCAGTTCTCCATTCTTTTCTACCAAAATAACACTGCCTCTTTCCTTCA